TCTGTTTTTCTTTGGTGTTTGTTCGTTTTCCATGCAATACAATACAACACAGTTTAGTAAAATATATAAACAGCAAAAGAGAGGTCAGCGAAATAATTCAAAAAGTACAAAAAAGTAATAATAATTTAATTTAATTAAATATGAATAATTAATGAAATGAGATTACGAAAGTATTCTATATACATGATGAAAAGCATGTACAATTAAAATGTAAGCAAAATAACAAACATAAATATAATAGCTGAGGTTAAAAATACTGGATAAAAGACAACTTCAGGACTGCTTTACTTTAAAACATGGTCCAATTGGCTTGGTTTGTTAAGATGCCCTCCTTCTGATCTTCCAAGGCTCATTAGACAATACAATGCAATACGTACATAAAACAGATATACAAAAAAGCACAGATTACATACAATTACAAGTTTTAGAAAATTAAGAATTGAGGTCAAACGTCAAATAACTAATTATGACAAAGATCAACAAACGATGACCCTCATTGTAAGAAAAATATACTTGACCTCTGCCAGTTTGGACAAATCCCGCCCACAATCCAACAGTTCCGGTCTGGCCCACGTGACTCCGGTCTGAAAGGTTCCCATACATCTGCGGACTGCCAACGGAACACCAGCTGGAGAAAAAAACATAAAATGAATCAAAACTAGAAATATCATGGAAATATCATATGTGAACATGCACGGCTTAAATACTTGTTATATTGTCTTTTGTTTTATGCATAAAGGAATCTTTTTTTGGAATAAGTCTAGCAGTATGACAGCTGTCAGATATTAAAGAACGATGGGTTTCTCACACGAAACACCAGAAAACAGGCATTTTCTAGGAATTGAAAACAGGTCACCACCTCAGCACGCCAGCTACATGTGTTTTTAAACATGATGTTAAAACATGTCAAATGTGAAACACTATTTTGTTATGACTTGTCCTACTTATAGTGAAGAAAGAGGAGTATGAAATAAAATTATAGAATCTTTAAAGTAAGGTTATGAAAATGTTTTTGCACCTGCCTGTACCGCGACCTTTGAGATGCAATGTAGTCTTTTAAGTATTAATGAGACCTATTAAGAACCACATACATATGCTTAAAAAAACATACATTTAAAATATCTATTATATTTAAATCTTATCTTATTATTTAACTAAGTACTATAAAGAACTTAAAAAAAATTAAGAATCCACGGAGCATCTTACCACTTTCTGTGTTGTTGGCACACTTTTCTTCTGAGTACACATGGGTGTCACCGGCAGAGTCTGGAAACGTCAGGTTTACACGGTTGGAGGAGGGGTCTGTCACGGTCACTGTTTCGCCGTAACACGTCGCTGTGAGACCAATGAAAGGTACGTATCATTTGAACAGTCTGTATGATTGATTATTTTTCGCTTATTATGCTCTGTAACTTCTTTAAGTGGTAACAAAGCGGATTATTCTCAAGTTTTTACGGTAAGAAAAGATATATGTATCACAGGAGCATTTACCAAACCAATAATTTGAAACCGTTAACGTAAAGCAAGAAGGCTAAACAGCATAATTATAGAATCAGATTTGGATCTTATGCCATAGTAGATTTTAAAGACCTGGTAACATACACCATAAAAGGCACCTAAGGTGATTTTTTCTCACCCGACGCCCATGCCTTTGTCGTAGATATGAGAAGCATAGTTCCTAAACAATTGTGAGCATCTTAGTTGGCAAAAATCATCGTAAGTGCATAGTACGATGTACATAGTAAAGTAATATTAAAGAGGAGTAACTTCAACATACTTGTCAGAAATGTAAGGCTTGCTGGGTCCAATCCGAGAGAGCTTGGAGTCCGTGCAGCTGTTTGCAGGGCATTGGAGATACTGTCAAACAGGTCCTGGTCCTGAAGCTCAGCATCCTTCACATTTACGTTCTGATTTGTGATGATACTTCCTGGTCTGCAGGAAATAGAAAGGCAGATAAGTTCTCAGATTACCATACTATATTGTTATCAATAGTATTTATTAATTGTCAGTTTAGTTTTATTGTATTGTGTTGGATTAGTCATTACTGCCACACATTGTACGATGTACGATTGTCGAGCACTCAAAGTTCATTTATACTGAATAGTTTATCAAAACGGTACTTTATTGCACAGCTTCGTTATCAATAAGTTTATTTTGTATCACGTAAGTAGACAAAATTGCTCAGATTGAGGAAAATGCAAGTCAGAAATATCAAACTTACTTTGCATCCTTTACTCTGATGTATATATTGCCTTGAATATGTCCCAAAGCCTGCTGATACTGAGACGAATAACAGTTAACGTTGAGTGATATAAAGGTAATCATAAATATAAATTAAACACCAACGTTTGTTACATATGTCAACTTCACATAATCTCGTCTATTTCCTATACTCTAATTTTAGACCGTTGGGGCACCATAAAAGATCTGACACTCAGTTTTCCCCACCCTTATCACTTTTCTTTGTTTCACTTACTGTCTTGACAGAGCTTTCTTTGATATGACCATCTTATCATTCCGGTACCCATCTTTTCTCTCCTTGGACTGACTGACTCAAACCAACTACCAATCACCAAACTGGCTCAAACTAGTCATTACCTAGTCATAACAAATTTACCTCTAGGTTCTGAATCGATATATGATACAATTAAATTAATAAATGAAATACCAACATAAACGTGACTCACTCACGCAGTCCCATTTTATTGATCATGATATGATCGACCGAATTCAAGTTTTTATAAACTTTTCAGGTTAGACTTATCTTCATACCCAGTCCTTGATCTCGGTACTTATGCTCTGGAACGCAGCTGAATCAGGATTTTCCATTTCAGGGGTGAAGTTTCTACCAGTTATCCTCATGCTGGAAACAAATGTCACGGTTCCTGGGGTATACGTAAAACATGGGAGTACAGTTTTTTATTAAGTACTTTAAGTACTGATGACTGATGCACTAGAGAACCACACATGCTCGGTTAGCATTGGGGGACGAATTGTTTCAAACCTGAGATTCGCGGATGATATTGATGGATTGGCAGGGTCAGAAAAAGAACTCTCGAGGCTTGTAAAGAACTTGGACACAACAACCACTAAGTACGGAATGGAAATAAGTGGTGAAAAAACAAAGATCATGACAAACAAGAGCGCACCTATTAGAACAAAAATCACGGTCCAAGGACAAGAAATAGAGACTGTAAAAAAGTTTAAGTACTTAGGAGCAATATTATGTGAAGAAGGCTCCAAACCCGAGATTCTGGCACGTGCAGCAATGACATTTAAGGCACTTGATAAACTGAAACCAATCTGGAAAGATAGGAACATCAGCATGAAACACAAGATAAGATTCCTACAGGCCCTTGTATTCTCCATCTTTCTGTACTCCTGTGAATCATGGACACTAAATGCTGAGCTCCAAAGAAGGATACAGTCAGTAGAAATGAAGTGCCTTAGAAAAATCCTAGGGATAACATACCTGGACCGTGTCACAAACGAAGAAATCATAAACAGTGTAAAACAGCACTGTCGGTATGAAAGGCTCCTGACAGTTGTGAAGAGAAGGAAACTTAAGTGGTACGGACATGTAATGAGATCAAATGGACTGTCAAAAACAATCCTTCAAGGAACAGTAAAAGGAGCAAGAAAAAGGGGAAGGCAGAAGAAAAAATGGGCCGATAACATCCAAGAATGGACAGGAAAAAATCCCTCGGAAACCCTAACCCTAGCTCACAGCCGAGAGGGATGGCGGCAGATGGTCAGACACTCCACCATGCAGTGCCCCCACGACCCTGACCTGGGTTAAGGGACCAAGGTACAAGGTACTTTAAGTACTATTATTTTGATACTAGCATACCAGCATATTAGGGATCCCGTACTCCCTATAATATTACTGTAAATAAGTTTAGATTATCGTTGCATGGTTAGGTTTACATTCCAAACAGCATGCGTATAATTGGGGCTTGTACTGCATGCCCAAATCACCACATTCACCCGCATTAAATGTGAAAAACTAAGCTTATGCAACCAATAAAGAAGACGTTGGGACCCACCATGGCCAAATTCACCGGCTAATCAAGAGTACAAACAAGAGAAACCAGAGTACAAACCTTTCGGAAGCACGGTGATGGTGCTGTCTTCAGACTCTGTCTCACCACTTGGACTTGTCACTTTGCACCTGACCTTATGAACACCGCTTACAGCTTTATATCTGTCACAGCAGACATACACGTAACAAAATTACATATATTAAGGAAAATTCATATGGATTGTCTTCATATAATCTGCATGACATCTATCGATAACAATTCATCAGTAATTATTATTCCCCATGTAACTTGAGTGTGTCGTCACCTTGTCAGCATTTGTTTATGTTTTAATAGAAATGGCTTCTTTTATATGTAATTACGATCATGCAGTAGGTCTGAATAAAGCATGCCACGTAAGACTGTCCCGTACTAACCTGAACACAGTGCCTCTCTGGTTGGGTACAACTACTCCATCGACTGTCCACTGGTAGGTATAATCACTGGAACGTCTTTTTGTGTTACATGTGATGGAGATGACTTCTCCGACTACCAGATCTTGTACCTCTGAGGGGCGTATGCTGACCACAGGATTAACTGGTCAAACAATTCAAGGTATGGAATGAAAATGCCTAATATGATAAATAATACATAATGTAGCCTCTTACAAGGGATAGCACAGCCAAAGTCATTGCAAAATAAATCATAATACATAGGTCAAGTGGATTAAATCAATATGTTCAAAAACACCAACATTTTAAATTCTGGACCTATTGGCTCAATAGACCTCGAAGCGGCCACGTGCTCTAGTGTAAATACAGAGAACAATTGAAATTTCCTAAAAGTCAAGAAAGTTTCTGTTTTCTTTTTATAAGGTGACTTTAAGCAGGCAAAGCTTGGAATGGAGCCAATCCTTTAACCCTAGGTTGTGCACAGATTTTATCCCAGCCCTTATTGTCATTCTTCTCGATTGTTAACTTTAAAAAAATATGAACATTTAAAAAATTTAAAGATTAAAAAAAAATTAAACAGTCCTTAAGGTCAGTAATCTACGATTTCTTTTTTCAACTACGCCTCGTTTAAAATAAGTTATGTCCAAACACCTGAGCACTATCTTACAGTCTTGCAAGATTCATCGAAATGTTTATGGTTTCCGTACCTTGAACTACAAGTGCAGCTTCCTGTGACGTGCCGACCCCTGCTGTGTTAGACATCATACAGACGTACTGTCCGCTATCGTGTGGACGTGCTGACGTAATGGTTAAGGTACTGTTGGTCACGTGTTGTTCTCCCACTAAACCTCCATATGTAGTTTCTACACTGACTTGGTCTCCCGGTGTGATGACTTCGCCATCGTGATGCCAGACAACAGTAGGGGCGGGAACACCACGACCGGTGCAGCTGAAGGTTGCTTTATCATGAATAGCCACCGTGAAGCTATCCGGATGGTCTAATGTTGTTGCGGGTACTGCAATAACATAAAAACACCATTTGAATATATGAAAATCATCATACCTAATTCTAAAGATCTCATTATAGTGTCTTTTCTAGGCGTCGTCTGTGATCTGGTCATCATATTTATTTGCAATCGCTTTCTTAGACGGGAAGTGTTTAGTAGATCCTCACTCACCAATGGTGCAATGTTCCGAACTGCAATTGTATATTACAAAGAGCGTAGGCGCACTTGCCCATTTTACAGGTATCTCCAACCCAGGGGTCCTCACATCCAGAACATCTGCCGTCAGTTTTCTCACAGGTTGTCCCTGTTACACAGACTCCACAGCGTTTAGCGCAGTTGTGGCCATAATAACCGTCATCACACTCTAAAGGACGAATTTAACATGGTGGGTATTATTATTATGAGTCTATTACATTGTTTACTTGTTGAACTCGCCATGCGTCTGCATCAATTGCAAGCAACGGCGTCTACACTCTGTTAAGGAAACAATACGTGAAAATAAAGCACAATCAACAACCGCAGCTTCATGTTTCCGCAACAATTCAATATTACACACCATGAGCATTTTGGATTGCCTGAAAACTGCTAGCATCTGCAAGCTAAAAAAATGCTTTTGCCGATAAGAACATAATATACGTAATACTTCGGTCCAACAGGTAGAGCCTTAGTAACTTTGTTTTCCTCAGTCAGCGACATATTCTTCTACATACTGGTGACCATTTATATACAGCGTACACTTGTCTTCATACTCTTGAAAAAAACATCCGACTCTTTGGGGAAATTAGATCAAAATACTTCATACCGAACATTATAAAAAATGTCAAAATATCATATCATACGAGTATCATAACGTATTTATCAAGATCAGAGTACAGATACACGTGCTCTCTGCATGAAATCCTGATGTGACGATATGATACAATATCTAAAGCACGGTATATATCGACGCGGCTCGCAAAGTGACATGCGTCAAAAAGGTGATCACTAACTCAATTTAGGTGCTGGAAGTAAAACAATTCTAGAAAAGGTCGGGCACAAAGCTTTGTAGAATCACCGTAACCACACATTTTTATGTGAGAAAACGAATGCGTCGCGAATTAGTTCATAAAGAGCAGTCACCTTTTTGGCAGTTGTCCCCCTTCCATCCTGCCTCACACCCTCCACTAGAGCAGACTCCAGTCCGGATGTCACACACAGAATATCCGCTCGCACAGTGACAGGTACCGGTACAGTTAGGCCCAAACTCACCGGGCGAGCACACTATGAAGATATAACGAATATGTTTATTAAGTTAAACATTCAAGGTTTAAGGAAATGCTATGCCTCAAACACTATCTTAACACATGACCAGTATACAATTCGGTAAAGTAACAGAAATCACCTGTTTAACAGTTCCTTTCATTCCATCCGGTCTCACTCTTTTACCTCAGAACTAGAATGATATTTATCAGAATAACACAAATCACCTGTCTGACAGTTGTCCCCCTTCCACCCAGCCTCACACCCTCCACTAGAGCAGACTCCAGTCCGGATGTCACACACGGAATCTCCGTTCGCACAGTGACAGGTGCCGGTACAGTCGGGCCCAAACTCTCCAGGTGGGCACACTATAAAGAACGTAATAACAATTAGTATCAAACTTGTTAAATATTCAAAGTATTGGAAAACGTTTTAACTCTTGCTTCCGTTACTACTAGAAAACAAATCGACAAAGTAAAAAGAATCACTTGTTTGACAGCTGCCCCCCTTCCATCCGGCCTCACACCCTCCACTAGAGCAGACTCCAGTCCGGATGTCACACACGGAATCTCCGCTCGCACAGTGACAAGTACCGGCACAGTTGGGTCCAAACTTACCATGCAAGCACACTATAAAGTAAGTAATAACAAATTTCATTTAACAGTTTAAAGATTAAAAGTATTGGAAAAAATTTTGACTTAGCTTTGCTTTTCTTCACTGACTGCAAGAAAGCAATGTGACAAAGCTTAAAGAAATGTTTGACTCAACCACTTTCTTTGCTCTTGGCTAAAATAGAAAAGCGATAAATGTAATTGAAAATAGATCACTTGTCTGGCAGGTGCTTTCCTTCCACCCAGCCTCGCACCCTCCACTAGAGCAGACTCCAGTCCGGATGTCACACACGGAATCTCCGCTCGCACAGTGACAGGTACCGGTACAGTTGGGCCCAAACTTCCCATGCGAGCATGCTTGAAAGAAATCAATTTAAAAACTAATAATATTTAGCAACCATGATAAAGAATACGTTAAGAGTCAATCACTCTAGTAACTCCGCACTTGAATGCAATGCGTTAGACAAGGGAAACAACATTAACCACCTGTCTGACAGTTGTCCCCCTTCCATCCGGCCTCACACCCTCCACTAGAGCAGACTCCAGTCCGGATGTCACACACGGAATCTCCGCTCGCACAGTGGCAGGTGCCGGTACAGTTGGGCCCAAACTCACCGGGCGAGCACACTATAAGGAAACGCATAAACAAGTTAAACATTTAAGATTTTAAGATGTAGAAAAATGTTTAGCATCAAGCATTATCTTTTTTCATGACCACAATTGAATGTCATAAAGTAACACAAATCACCTGTCTGACAGTCGTTCCCCTTCCATCCAGCCTCACACCCTCCACTAGAGCAGACTCCAGTCCGGATGTCACACACAGAATCTCCGCTCGCACAGTGACAGGTGCCGGTACAGTTGGGCCCAAACTCACCGGGCAAGCATGCTTTAGAGAAGACAGTTCAAAACCATATTAAATTTAGGATACAAGGTTTTTTTTCTACACTACCTAATATTTGTACCTTGCTTGCGTTTTGCTATCTATCAGACACCTTCTTCAGAGTTTCTGACTGAAGTTCTGCTTCTCGCCGCTATATAAAGCCGATGTAGGTTGCACTTTTGTACGAATAATTGGTTCGGTAGAAAAAAATCCCCTTATATCCTAAACTTTACCAACTTGATAAAACTATTTTGGACATATTGTATTTAGCATTCATATTAGAATACGTTAAAATTCCAGCACTCTATAAACTCAAGACTTGAATGTAATGTATTAAAATAACATAATCACCTGTCAGACAGTTGTTTCCCTTCCACCCAGCCTCACACCCTCCACTAGAGCAGACTCCAGTCCGGATGTCACACACAGAATATCCGCTCGCACAGTGACAGGTGCTGGTACAGTTTGGCCCAAACTCACCTGGTAAGCAGGCTGTCAAGAAAGTAATAGCAAACTTTAAATATTGTCAAGATTAAAAGTATTGTAAAGCATTTAAATCAAGCTTTGTCTTCCTTGACTTACTACCAGAAAACAATGTGACAAAAATATTTGACTCAATCACTTTGATTTCTCTTGGCCATGAAACAATGCGATAAATATAAATTAGCATAAATCACCTGTCTGACAGTTGCCTCCCTTCCATCCGGCCTCACACCCTCCACTAGAGCAGACTCCAGTCCGGATGTCACACACGGAATCTCCGCTAGCACAGTGACAGGCGCTGGTACAGTTGGGCCCAAACTCACCTGACAAGCACGCTTAAAAAACAATTTGAAAACGTATCATATAAGTACCTATCTTAGAAGAAGTTAAGGCCCAAGAACTCTTTTACCTCAGAACTAGAATGATATTTATTAAAATAACATAAATCACCTGTTTGACAGTTGTCCCCCTTCCACCCAGCCTCACACCCTCCACTAGAGCAGACTCCAGTCCGGATGTCACACACGGAATCTCCGCTCGCACAGTGGCAGGTACCGGTACAGTTGGGCCCAAACTCACCTAGCGAGCACACTATAAAGAAAACAATGAATATGTTTATATACAAGTTAAACATTCAAGGATTAAGGAAAATGCTACGCCTCAATTACCCCCCTTTTCTCATAAATAGAATACAATTCGGCAAAATAACATGAATCACCTGTCTGACAGTTGCTTCCTTTCAACCCAGCCTCACAACCTCCACTAGAGCAGACTCCAGTCCGGATGTCACACACGGAATCTCCGCTGGCACAGTGACAGGTACCGGTACAGTTAGGTCCAAACTCACCGGACGGGCAGCCTTAAAGGGGAAAGGCTTTAGCTTATCCAAGAAGACTTGGCTCAATGTCACACAAAAATGATTCTTGTCATTCTTTGATGGACCCATTACTTGTCATATATTGATGTTTGATGATAAAACATGAGGTTTGACTGACTACCGTGCTCTCTTTTTTAAAAAATTGATGTAGTGATGCTTAGTTCACAATTGAAAAACAGCCAGGATATGCGAAGAAATTACTTACTTTGATCACATTTGCCACCAATGTACCCGGCCCCGCACACATGAGACCCTCCGGTCGGACATTTCCCGATGAACCTGTCACAGGTCTGACTCCCGTAACATTGTCCACATGTGGTATTACAGTCAGGGCCGTATGTACCGTAACATTCTGTACGAAAGTTATGTAGAACAATCAGGACGAAACAAGAAAAGCCTTGCATCATCTACAGCCCAATAGCAAAACATATACCGAGTCCTAATAAAATCCGTCCGCCTAAATGCGAGAAACAGCTGCGAACATGAAAATCTACATGTCTCACAAAACCCTTCCGCGGAAGGATGTCTCCTTCCCCGGAAGGATGTCTCCTTCCCCGGGGGCACAAAAGAAAGAAAGAAAGAAAGAAAGAAAGAAAGAAAGAATGAAACCTGAGGCCTGGTAAAAAATATGTTGATTCTGAGACGTCATACCTACAATCAAGTATTTAGAGCCATTTTTTTGTTTTTGTATTTTTCTCCAC